TTTTTCCTTGCTTTCCTCCCTCTTTTTTTGTCTTTAATTTTGCCAACAAGTTGAGAAAGACTAACATAGCTACTTCTTTGGAAACTGAAATATAAATAGTATGGTTAAATTAAAAAAACAAAAAACCTTAGCCAGCCAAAGAGTTGGTCTATCTATTCCCCTGTACTGGTGATCAAAGTATTCAGTCTCTTTTCAAGAATGTAGAGTTGCCTAAATATTCAGCAAGGTTTCCTCTTGAGAAGGCTGGATTTCTCTTTTGTTTGAGCTTTAGTAGTAATGCTGATCTGCCTTTCATCCTAAGTCGTCACAGCTTTTAAACACATACAAATGCATACAAGCATGCACACTTTTGTATACTAGCTGTCATCCTTAGCCAGGATTTGGAAAAAGTTTGTTTTTTCTGAATTGCAGTCTCCAGATACTCCAGCCGGCATATCTGTTTATACAATGACTATGCTGGCTGGGAGATTCTAGGACTTTAAAAAGCAATTTTCCCAAACTTTGCCTCTTGCCTTTCAGTATTTCCCCCACCACCTTGCATTTGGCTCCCCATTTCCTTCTTTCTGGGCTGCCAGGTGTGCTTCAACATTAAGTAGTGGCTGATTTTCCAAGATTGCCGTAGGATGTATGTGGAGTCCAGGGGCATTATTGGAAATAAAGATGTTGCTGGATTTATCTTTGTTCATTTGTATGCCTGCACTGAGCAGGGCGTTGGACTTGATGGCCTTATAGGCCTCTTCCGATGTATTCTATGAACCTAGTGGGCACCACACAGGGTCTTTGTGGGCACCTCATTGGGGAAATGTCTGGCTCAGAAGAGAGCCAAGGAGAACTGAAGGGATAGTAAAGCAGACAGAGAGGGATGGTGATAGGTCAAATGAAGCGGACCATGACCCCAAGAGATGCCCTGATAAAGCATCAGTAGAGCCTGTTTTTGCCATTTTCAGACCTAGGGGAATGGACCATGGATCCAACGTACAGATGTACCAGCATATTGGCTGTATCAACACACCATTACAACCACATGATTCTTTGTGCCATTTCTCAAATGACTGCATATATAAGTCTTTAAAATGGCGTTGCCAAGACCATTTCACACATTTAAACATTCCCAGAGACTAAATGCTTGCTGCCATGTAGGAATAAATACCCCCTTCCATGAATGAGGGTGCCACCACACTGGCCCTTTTGGAGCAGGCTGGTGTGGTCTAAAGAGGGTCACTTGAGGTCAGGGAAAGGATCAATATGCCATATGCTGCAATCCTTGCATCCAAATCTCATGCTGAACCTGAAGTGACTCATTTTCTGTATTGTGAAGTGGCTTAAGGATATCGGCAAATATGTGGAGGGGCAAGGGAAGTGAAATTATTACTTGTTACCTCTGCTAGACCACTGCTGGTGTACTGAATCATTTAGATAAAATAGTGCCAATTGAGAAAGTTGTCACAGCTGTGGTTTCGATCAGCACTTCACACAAATGTAAATATTTTGGTTAATTTAATGTAATAGATTTGTATATAAGTGATGATCTAGAGAAACAAATACACTTTATAAAAATACATGGGTCTGAATATCATGGTTTTAGTTATACACATTTTTTTCAATGAATGAATGAATGAACATTGTGCTCCTGGAGACCCAGAACCCATGGGTTCAACACTGAAGGCATCAAAGTAGTCTACAAGCCCCCAGACATAACATCTCTAATTCAGCCTCTAGTTCAAGGGCTCATAAGGACCTTTAAGGCTCATTGCACATGGTACTGTATGGAAAGGATTGTCAATGTGATGGAAGAAAACCCAATAGAGAGAACTGTTCTGTATGTATGTATGTATGTATGTATGTATGTATGTATGTATGTATGTATGTATGTATGTATGTATGTATGTATGTATGTATGTATGTTAATCAACTGTTTATATTTTCTAGTTACATTTTTGGGAGCATAAGAGCTATACAAGGATTCTGAATTACATGGTGGTCTGACACCCCTAACCCCAACGTTGCTGAAGGGGGAAGTGTAAAAATAACAACAATAATTTCATACAAAGCAGGGGAAATGCTCAATTTGCCATATATCTTGAAATAGCTCCTTTACTAAGCCATTTTATGACACTGGGAGGAGCCTTAGTAGCTTTGACAGCTGCAAAGCTCAATATTGTTCTTTTCACAATGATTTATTGTGCTGGGAACAGACCAAAACTAGAGTTCACCAACCCACATCAAAAAAATAAAATCCCCTGACAAGGTACAGGTAGGATATTGTTCTTTTCACAATGATTTATTGTGTTGGGAACAGACTGAAACTAGAGTGCACCAACCCACACCAAAAAGATAAAATCCCGACAAGGTGCTTTGCAGGCAAATTGGTCCTCTCTAGCAATTGTGTCATGTGATGGCTGGAAAAAAGGGCAAACCAATCTGGTCCTGCAGGACAAATGCCCATCTGATTGAGCTCCTGGACTATGTAAACCACACAGTGTAACAATTGCACAAACAGGCATCAAGCTGCTTGTTTACACACAGAAGCTCCAAGTGGCTTCAGCTTTCTGTAGAAGATGCACAAAGTGAGAGATCCCCAGTCACAATCTGGACAGAGGTTTCATCTGTTTCTCTACAAGAGGGACAGCAACTTGGCAAGAGGGGGACAACTTTGGCAGTGTTTGGGGCCAATTGCATCCCTGTGGACTCTGTCATAAACTACATCCCCTCCAAATTTTAATTTTAAAACTTAAAAAAACAAAAACATGAGTGATCAAAAATTGACTTTAGTTTTGAAAAAGCTCTTTAAAATAAAGCAGGACTGCATGCCTTGCTTTAGAGGAGAATCAATGCAACAATTATCATACGTACCCTCATTGAAAAGAAGTCCTGGAGAATCAAGTAGGCAGAATAACTTAACTTTGTACCTTTTTTGAGCACCATCTAAGTGTGTCATGATAAAATCACAGAACTGGAGAGCTGGGAGAGACCTCAAGGGTCATCTAACCCCAAGCAAATCCTTTTTATGATGGGCCACCAACTCTGAAATACCCTCCCTTGACTGCCGCCACCACCAGGCCCATGGCCAGAAATTTGAGTTGGGAATGGCCTAAAAATAAAGAGGACGGTCAGCAGAGTTAAGTGAATTACTGTATTTATTTATTTAAAATATTTTTACCCCATGTTTCTCCTCAGAAAGTACCCAAGACAGCTTACATAATCAAAAGACAGTACTGTATATAAAGCTAACAACAGTGAATATACAATACTAAAAGGATAAAAGAAAGATCACAGTAAAAAAAGGTAAACCAAAGCAACACCAAAACACAACCAAAGCCGCAAAGTACAGCAATCCATTTAACAAACCTCACTCGCGGCCAGTCACTAAAAGGGAAAGGTTGCCTGAAGAGAAAGGTCTTAATAGTACTGTAGACAAGGAACAATACTTGTTAATACAAGTATTAGACTTCATCACTTCGACTAGAAAATAAATATTACCGCAGAGATAGACGAAGAGCCGCCTGGCAAGATCAGCCTGCCCTGCCCTGGGGGGTTCAGGATGCCCTGCCTGCCTGTGATGCCCTTACTTCCCTCGCGTGGCTCCTTTTCCCCTCTGGCTATAGATCCGGTCAACATTTGGCTCTTTTCAGCAACCTGTCAAGTCATTTTTATTTGCCCATGCTTCATTTCAAACTACTGTATAATTGCTTCTGTTCCACTCGGTACTGCTACAGCCATTGTTGTTTAATTGTTTCTGTTCTAGGAGGAATAATAATAATAATTTACTGTCACAAGCATGATTAGGGGGCTGGAAACCAAGCCCTTAAGAGGAAAGAACTGGGCATGTACAGCCTGGGAGGAAAGACTGAAAGAACTGGGCATGTACAGCCTTGAGTAAAGAAGACTTAGGGGAGATAGGATAGCATTTTCCACATACCTGAAAGAGGAGGAGCAGGATCTCTTATTGGTCAACCCAAAGTGCAGGATACCAAACAATGGGCTCAAGTTACAGGAATCCAGATTTTGGTTGAATATTTGGGGGGGGGCAACTTCTAACTGTTAGAGCAGTACAACAGTGGAATCAACTACCTCGGGAGGTGGCGAGTGGGCCATCTTAGACAACCGCCTGACCGATAATTCTTTGATTTGTATTCCTGCACTGAGCAGGGGTTTGAACTCTATGGCCTTATAAGCCCCTTCCAACTTCATTATTATATGATTCCACAATCATCTTATGCCACTTTGGAACGTCTCACGATGAAGGATGGGTTAGGATTTTTTCCAAATCAGTTGATAAATAAATAAAAAGTTACACAGAGAGACTGAATGAAAGCTTGTAAGCATTCCACAGAAACTTAGGTGATCTTTTGCAGATTTGGAAAGCGAAGCAGGGTCAGGCCCAGTTGCTACCTGGATGGCAGACCACCCACCACCGTCAGTGACCTCCAGTTAAAGCTGCGGGGGGGGGGCGGCGGCGGAGAGGAGGGACTGGCCTCTGGTAACCCTGAAGACCCACTGCTGCCGGCCAAGGGGGACCGGACGGGGCTAGGTCGACCCCAGGCTCGACTCCGCGTGAGGCAGCTTTCATCAACCGGGCTCTCCGTCCCGCCCTGTTACTCTTCACCCCACTGGAGCGGGCAAGCAAGACCAGCCTGGGCGCCGAGAGAGAGGGACAGGCGTGTCGGGGAGCGTGTTGGGGCTTAAGGCAGGCGCCGACGACCCCGGGGAGGTTACCAGGCGGCGGTCACGGAGGGCTTTGCCGCCGCGCAGGAGCCCCGCGGCCCCATCGTGGCAACAGGGACCCGTCTAGACACGCCCGGCTCCCGGGACCGCCCTCCTCAGTCCCCGGCAGAGACCCCAGAGCAGCGCCGCGGAGGAGCGAGGGCGGGCGCCCGAGAGGGACGTGGGAGGAGCCGGGGAGTTCAGGGAGTAGAGGATTTAGTCCAGTCGTGTCTGACTCTAGGGCGTGCTGCTCATCCCCGTCTCCAAGCCGTAGAGCCAGCATTTGTCCTGAGGTGCTGCCGGCAGTCTCGCTCCATCAGCCTCGGGCGGAGGAGGAGCGGGACCGGAGGCGCCCTGGCACCGAGAGCTGGGTCTCCCTCCTCCTCCTCCTCCTCCTCCTGGCGCAGCTGCTGGCACCCGGGAAGAGTGGGAGGGACGGCCGCTTCCCCTGGCGCCCGCCAGGCTCCTGTCGGAAGCCACATCTGGGATCCAGGAGACGCGACGCCGCGGCTTTCCCTCGGGCTATTCTGAAAGCGCCGCGCGCTCTCCCCTTGCCCGAACCTCTGGCTGGCTCGCCCGCCCGCTCGCTCGCTCCCTGGACGGCGGAGGCGGCTGGTGGCGCCCGCGCGATGCAACTCCTCCGCGGCTTCCTGATGGCTCTTGCCCTGCGGACGGCGGGCGCGCAGGTGAGAGGGGGAAGCTTCCGATCTCGTCCCGTCAGCCACAGCCCGCATCCCGGACAGGTTGGCTCGAGGAGGATTTCTGGACAAGAGCCATCCTCGCCCCGTAGGAAGATGCCCGAGTCCGCTAGGCTCGCTTGCCACGCTGCTGGGCGTGTGGGACCCCCTCTCCCAACGGCAGCCCTTAGGAGTAGCAGGGCTGGCTGTCCCGTGATTAAAAGTGCGAGGCACCGTCAGCTGCGCCACAGTAGAACGAAGATACGCGATTGTCTCCTGCCCTCACAGTTATTTGATGTTTAATTTTAAAATTAGCAGTGCCACAACTGCTTTCAAGGGGTAGGTTGTGATCTGGAAAACTTTTAATTCGCAGTCTCTGTCGACAGCGTGGCTTGATCATGTGGCGAAGGAAACTCTGTACCTGCTCAGAGGCACTGTTGTTATCCTCTATATTCTATAGCAGAGCCTTGGCGAGGGAGGGAAGTTTACACAGCTTAGATGAACGTCTTCATCTGGTGGAGTGTTTGTGTGGGCAGGGTGGGAGGGAAGGAAATTTCAGATCAGAAGAGAATCTTTCCACAACCTGGTACGGAAAGGTTTGATTGCAATTCACATCATCCCCCGCCATTTGAGGGTGATGGTTGTAGCAGACCAGCAGAGAATGAGGCTGAATGTAAAAACCACTTGGAAGGGGTGTGTGGGTATTCCTGGCAGGCTTTTCAGGAGTGATTTATGGTAAATGGTGCGAATTATGTTAGTCCAGCCGTAATATAAAGGAAAAGAGTTAGGGTTAGGTTTTCCTAACTCCTTTTAATTGCCAGGATGCTGTTGCCCACCCTTTTTTGAGGTGACACTAAGATTCCAGCCAGCAACAGATTACAGAACCAGATGAATCTGGAACATAAATGTCTTCTTGTGTATGTTTTGTGAGGAGCATCTGCAAAAGATTTGAATGTCGCTACTAGAGTACTGTGCTCTCTCTCTGTGCCTGCCTTCCTCCTGTCAAGGCTTCCTTCTTTTTAACTCCTGTTCCAAGTTTATTTATTTACTCAGTTGATATCCTGCTTTTTCCCCAAAAAGGGACATACAGGCAGTTTACAATGAAACAGCAACAACAAATCAAACACAGAGTGGATGAACACCTTTAAAACACCTTTAAAAACTACACTGATGAAAGAAAACAGAGCGCGCACACGCCCAGTTCCAAGCCCAGTTTGCCGCAGCAAGGCCAGTTACCAAAAACTTGTCTGAATTTTAAAAAGAAAAAAAAGGTCTTTTCCTCCTAGTGGAATGACAATAGGGACGCAGCTAACCTGGGAGAAAGCCACCAAGAAAGTTGCTGTACCCAGATGAGATTTTTAATAGGATGCCAGAAAACAAACAAACAGATACGCTCGCTGAGGTCAAGAACACTCAGACTGGAAGCACCTGAAGAGGTTCTCTGGAGTTATTAAGTGGAAAGGAATGCAGGTGGAAGCTGCTCGGCTCACTGCTTCCTGAACCTCCGGTTGAATCTCCTCACTGCCAAGCAGCTGACATCTTCTGGCACAAGCAAGGAGAGAAGCCTTTGGCTTATGCTTTGCCACCAAAAGCAAGTGCTGGAGGTTTCAAGACAATTTTCTTAATACCCCACCCCCCAGTCAGCAAAAACCAAAGTTTTTTGGCACATTTAAAAAAAAACCACAACAATTTCAATGAATGGATTTATTTCATTGATTCCCACAATGTCATTGATGTCCTTTAGTCATGTCCACATGGTTTTGATTTTGGGGACCAAGGAGCTATCACTTCAGCCTTTCTTGCACTGGCCTTTTACTACTTCTCAGAATGAATCTCCCACACTTCAGGCTTTCCCCTGCCCACTGTGGGAATATCCATGCCCATGGGCAGTGCCTAGTTAGAAATATGGGAAGCTAGCTGCCTTCTGGCTTTGTTCTGCCCTTAGATGTTATTCCAGCTGCCCGTAATCTCCCACCCTCCAGATTCAGTAGATTGCAAACCCCATCATCTTCAACCTGCATCACACTGGCTATGGCTATTGCACTTGCAGGCTGCCACCATCTGAAAGGTAGTGGGGTGGGGGGGTGTATCACCTCCTACATGAAAGGGACCCTTAATATGTAGCTTGTATGTAACACACAGGATGTGCCCCCCCAAACTCCTCCAGCATCCCCATTTTTAACATTAAAAGGACCCCTGATATCAGTGTGACTGAATCAGACAAGGTCATATTTGCCAAAACCATTTTTAACATTAAAAGGACCCCTGATAGTCAGTGTGACTGAATCAGACAAGGTCTTATCGTTGCCAAATGAATTCAGGGCTGGAAAGATAAACATACACCACCCATCATTCAAAGATCAGAAGATCTGACTACTCTTAGTACACATAAACATATATTCTATGGATGCCTTCTCCAAATGAAACCTTTTTTGGATGTACAGTATGGTCAGCTTACACTAATGTATATGTCCAGCCCATTATTAGGTTTGGCTATCTCCCTCCTTTTTTCCTTTCCTTTTCTTCTTCACCTTCTTCTCTCATTTGGTCTGCAATATATTTTTAAGAACCTCAAAGGACCTGTGGGCTCTTTGGGGGCCCAGGAGGCCATTTTGCCACATTTCCCACACTAGTCCATGTCAGACCTGTATTTTTTTTCAGTTTTCTCAAATTGGAATAGTTATTTTGTTGGACTACAACTCCCATCTCTCCTGCTGGCTGGAGAATTGTAATCTGCAAAAGTAGCCTTCCCAAGATCCTCCTTTTTTGTAGCCCTGACCTAACTTTTGCCATGCATTTAAGGGGCCCTTGCTTCTTGGTTTGACATACGTTTGGATTGTGCTTGTTGGGACCCACCTTAGGTTCGGCTGTAAACCAGTAGCAGGACTTCATGGATGTGATCAGCATTTGATGACCAGACACTAAGATGCTGATGTTAGTCACATCTAATAAGTAAGAATGTTCTGCCTTGCTTCAGGCTAATTTGTTTCTAAATGGCAAGCTGCCAAACCTTGAGGATATTCATTAGCAGAGAAGATGTAAATAAAGAGTGCCTAGATCAGTTGAAGTAAACAAATTAATACTTTGTGAACAAATAGTGCCCTGGGCAGCAAATGTTTTAAATCCCAAAACTTCTGCAAGAGGCTTTTTCTTTTTCCATTCACCAAAAACTTCATCTGAAATAATGCCTGTTTTGAAATGTGTACTGTGGAAGAAAAGTAACTAGCATCATTTTCTCCGTTGTTGGGGGAATGTCAGTGGAGCAAGAGGGCTTGGGACCCTGGTTATCCAAGGCTCCCCCAAACAAGTCTCCTCCCCTCCCCCCCCAGCAAAACACTTAACTTGTGGGACATTTTGCTAGCACAACTTTCCATCAGGATTCTGCAGGTAGCTGTTATGCATTTAAGTGCTGGTCTACTAGGATGGCCTTTTGCAACACCTGGCATCTATTGAAGGCCAGCTGGTGGGTTGCAAGGATACATACAGCTTTAATAAATAGGTCAGTAGTTCCCAATCTTTTTCAAATTGTGACCCCCTTTTATAGCCTGTGACCCCTCCACCACATCTGCATAAATAGGCCACCGTTGTCATTCCCCAACATGGTGGCATAGTTGATTCTGATGCCGTGTGTCTTCCTGCTGTTTCTTCCATAGCAGACATTTCTCTACTGCCACCATTTCAAAACTGGGGAGGGAAGGGGCTGGGGGAGGTTAAAAGTAGGAAGAAGAGAAGGCAAAGGATTTTAAAGATAGGCCAGGGGGCAGAAGGACATTGTGATACCCAGAGAGGAGGCCAAAACCTTCACCCAGAGAGGACCCTTCTCAGAAACTGGCATGAATCTTTCCTTGCACTCACTGCAGAAGAAGCGGACCATTTGTTTTTGTGTCTTCTTCCTGGGGATTTGTTGTGTGTATGGATCCCTCCCTTCCTCCTCTTCTTTAGGCTCATCAGAAGTGATGCATCATAGTTAAAATCTCTTTCTAGTAGAAGCAGCAGCAATTATATATTTATGCTGACATTTCTTTTTTTGTAAAAAAAACCAAAAAACCAGTCCTGGTCATCTCTTCTCAGAAAACGATGTTTTTTCTGCTCTAAAGGGCCTGCTTCTCATACATACATCTACATGCTAACTTTAAGATCCTGCTCTGAAAGTTCAAAGAAGAAATTATTTGACAAGGGCTACAACACATATAAAGAGACCTGTATCCCCCAGAAAACACATTGGGTCACAATCCCCCCCAAGTTGGGAAACACTAAAATATGTTATTCAGCTGAAGCACACAAGGTGGGTGGATGAATGAATAAAAACTCAGATGACTGAAACTGTTCTTCAAATGAGACTGAAGCCCTAAAATTGGAATGAAACAAGAATTTATTTCATTGACTCGTCCATCCACCCCTTTCTGTTTTTTTAGCACTGCTCTGAATGTGTTTGTTCTTCCCCATCGGATGATGATGACTGTGCTGATACCTGCTCTTGTGTTATCTCTACTGCAGAAGAGTACATGTAGTCTCTCCTCTCATATTAGATGATGGAAAGTTTACAAGAAGTTGCCTTGCAATGGTTGAAATCTAGTAGTAGTAAGTGACAATTAGAGTAGGCCTAATGGAACTGATAGAGATGTTGAGTTATCAAATCCTCATTGGTTCAATGGGTCTACTCTAGTTGTGATTTCATATTAGATTTCAGCCACTGGGTCAGACATTTTAGACCAATGTGTCTCCAAGTCTCTGACTGATAGCATCTCTGCAGGGGCGCAAGCAGAGATCTTTCTCATCACATGCTACCTGATCTGTTTACCTAAAGATGCCAAGGTTCAGGATCTTCTGCTGCAAAACTCTTGTTTTTGGCATCGTTTAACCTAGCACTCCTTCATATGTACATCTATTCCTCCTCTGTGAGGCTTTGAACATCTTTGTCAAAAGGCAAGTGGTTTTGGTTTGTGGGTCAGAATATTGCACTAGGGTTCAGGAGCACCAGCTTCAAATCCCCACTTGGCTAAGAAATTCTTGGGATGCTTTTGGACCAGTCATGCCCTCTGAGTGGGCGACTATGTTGACCATCCACTCCACAATTTATGTCAAATGAGGCACTGATGAACTTGAGTTGAAATCTGGTGACTACATGACATAAAGCTGAATTTAGGGAATAGTCTTTTTTGAGCTTTTTTTGTTCAGACAGCAGGAATAGTTTAATTTTGTTCTGATCTATTTGACATCTCTTTTTTCCATGTTCTGTCAGTGCAATCGCCTGATCTTAATCAAAAGGGTGTACATGTGGGTGCCAGTTCTCTCCAACTGAGCACCCTTTGTCTCTAAACTGTTTCCTTTTTTAAAAAAGTAGGTTCAGCTCAGTGCTGGAACAGATTTTCATGAGTTGCTTTGAAGAGCAATAAAAGAGAAGGAGGTGGACACAAGGGTGAAATAATGGGCATCTAATACACTAAATGCCGCATCTAAAAACATCTAATACACTAGATGCTACAGTGCATGAAAGAGGGATTTGTTTGAGGTGCAATTCTCCATGTGAAAAAGCAATGTAAAATCCTGGCAGGTGGCACTATACTGAGGAACCAGATTGTGCACATAGAAGTAGAACATAATAGTTTCCCATCTTTCTTTTTAACTGCAAGTTATTGATAATCACTATAATCCTATAATGCCCAGTGTGGTGTCAGATCAGAGAGTCTGATCCCTGAACATCATCTTCAGAGCCCTATAGAACTTTATAGACCTCTAGGGAAAAATCAGAACCCTGTGTTTTGTCAGACCTGGCATTGATCCCAGTTAAAAAAACTGCAGGGACAAATGCTTACAAATATACATGGAAACTAAACTTTAGTTGCAGGCAAATACTTAAGTCAGACTTCATTCCAAAATAAAATAGTATAAAAAGTACAAGAAAATACTGAAAAGGATGTTACATTCCAAAAATGCAGTAGCTTATTGCCCAAAGAGGCAGAATAAAAAAGCAGAGAGTAAATACCTAAAATACGTAATTTCTTAAAAGTAAGACTATATTAAAGGAAATAATATTTTTAGCATTTAAGCATATTATTGACCACATATGAAAAAAATATTTAATAGTGTTCTCCCTCAGCCAAGCCAGCCATGGGCCAGTCTGTATCTATGGAGGGAAATCCATGATGAAAGTGTTGCTCGTTTCTGGAAATGAAGCCGGCTGCTCTTTGATGTCTGGTGCCCGGTATCAGTGTTGTTGGTATCTCATGCATGTGGCTAGCATGTTGTATTGTTGAATTGAGTGTGTGTGTGTTATTTATAGTTATTTCAGATGTAACCAACAGACTTTTGCTGGACCTGTAAGTACAGGGTCTTGATGCGTAAGCAGACATTTTTATAGTAGAAATCTTTATTGCCTTTACTATTTCTGATCTTACAGTTCCTGTAAATCAGAATATGACAAGCCGATACCATGATGATAAGCATTACTGTTTTGTCAAACAGAATCAGAGCCTACAGATTTTAATGGGTTGAAACCATAGAGGTTTAGTAAAGTAGAGCAAATTGTGGGACCTGAAACACCACCTATCTGTCATGTCAGCACAATGCAAAAACATTCTACTTAATGCAGACCAATTATTTCAATACACTTTCAATTTGATCTTTTGTTTATGGCTATCATTTGCAAACATATGTTTAACTGTCATCCCTCCTCTGAACGTGTTCCAATTTGTTAGCATCCTTCTTGAAGAGTGGTGTCCAGAACTGGACACAATACGTACTCAAGGTGAGGCCTAACCCAGTGCTGAATAGAGGGAAGTTGGTACCTTATGGAATTTGGAGACTATATTTCTGTTGATGCATCCTAAAATATTGTTGGCCTTGTTTGCAACCACATCACACTGTTGGCTCGTATTCAGCTTTTGATCTACAACAGTTCCAATATCCTTCTCACTTGTAGCCATATTGAGCCAAGTATCCCTTATCTTGTAACTGTGCACTTGATTTTTATTTCCTCCTAGGTGTAGAACTTTGCACTTCTCAATGTTAAATTTCATTCTCTTGTTTTCAGCCCAGTGCTCAAACCTATCAAGAGGTTTTTGAATTTTGTTTCTGTCTTCCAGGGCCTTAAATAATCCACCCAATTTTGTGTCATTGCAAATTTGATAAGTATTCCTTGAACTCCTTCATCCAAGTCATTAATAAAAATGTTGAAGATCACCGTGCTCAGGACTGAGCCTTGTGGTATCCCACTTGTTACCTCATCCCAGTTTGAGAAGGAGCCATTAATAAACTCTCTCTGTGTACAATTCGGCAACCAACTGTGCATCCACCGGGCATTTGTTCTATCCAGCCCCTGCCTAGTTAGCTCACTACTCTGTACATCATGGAGCACTTTCTCAAAGCCTTTGCTAAAATCGTACTACATCTACAGCATTTCTATCATCTACCAGGGAAGTTACCGGGTCAAAAAATGAGATAAGATTAGTCTGGCAGGATTTGTTCTTGATAAATCCATGTTGGCTTCTAGTTATTACTGAAGTTTGTGCCCTGCCTGAGTAAGGTCTTGCAAAATCCTGCAGTATGCAGTGAAAGCCACAAGTAGCACCTTCTCAGAAAGTGCTTTCTTTTGTACTTTTAAATTTTTATTTTACCAAACTCATGTATGATCCTAGGATCATCAAAACAAACATTCCTTATTATGGATTGCAGCAGCAACTGCTCCTGTTTTTCTTATGAAAATAAAGCAGCTTTATTAAAACAGCTTATTTATTCCTGACTATGAATCATCAGCATGAAGAATTTTCTCTTCTGGAGCACCTGCATCCAGACTTGTCTTCTTCCTTTCCCTCTGTTTTGACCTTAGTCACTTTCATTTATACTGTAGACTGCATAGGAAGCTGTGCACAAGGCTGCCATCTAGTGTCCCTATTTCAATGTTTCAAGGAGTTTGCAAGGAGGGAGACCGCAGGGTTGGATTGATTTCAACAGGATTTCAGGGGAACCGAGGGGAACGTGGGGAACATGAGTAGTGCTGAGGCCAAAACTAATCTGGATGTTATATCCTCTCATGTGGGGACTCTTCTCTATATGACAGGTGATTTCCCTACAGTGTGTTTAGCTACCTTTTGTTTCCCAAGATGCCTTGGGACAGTTAAGATTCTCTTCCCTCATCCCTTTTCTCTCCTCTCTCCATAGAGGCAAGACATGACTCCTCAGAACAGCACTGCTGAAGCAGCAACCTGTGAGTGAAATATTGGTTCTCCCCTTTTGATGTCAAAGTGGCTCTAATAGGATGGCTGTGAAACTGAGAGTTAGAATGAGTGTACATTCCTATATTTCTCCTTCTTATGGCTCACCAGCAAGTTGTTACGTGGTTCAAACACAGAGGAGCATTTTCACACACTGATGGTGGGGTTGCTAATGGCAAAACTCCATGTGCTGTTAAATGTTTTTGTTTGCATTTAAGTGTTTAAGGTTTTTTTTTAAAAAAATGCAAATAGCAGCTGCTGTGAATAGAAATTGTTTGGCGGAATCTAATTCTTGCAGGTGGGATCTAACCCTTTCCTTCCTAGCTTCAGGCAGCATCAGAATTGTCCCTCCTCTGAAGCTGGAATTACAAAATCCCACTAGGGCCAGCATTGGGTTCCAGTATCTGCATTTAATGTCACATCTGACTGGGCCCCTGAAGCATTTACATGAAAGATGCATCTAGCTCAAGGTGTGGTCTTAATGCCTTTAAATCTATGGCTTAGGGAGAGGGCCTAGCTTGTTGACAAGTCATGTGCTTTCCATGAAGACGGTTCCCATGTTAGTCCTTGCTGGCTCTAGTTGAAAGGATTAGATAGAAAATATCTCTGCCTGGAAGACTGGACAGCCATAAGCACCAGCCCTGTCATTAGGACAGGAGAGGTGACTCCCTCAGGCATTCAATGCTGGACAAGTGATAAAATATTAGAGCAGAGAGTTGTGAGTTTGGCCTGCTACTGAAACTACTAAGCTGGCTCGCTCTCTGGAGCTGAGATGGACAATGTTATCACCCCCATTGAAACACGAGTCAGCTGCCATTTAATTTCACCTCTGGACCACCTCCGAACCTGGGGAAAGAGGATTCTGTCCTGTAGTTGCTTTAAGTATCAAAATGTCCCCAGCATGGGTTTTTGTTTTTGTTTGTTTGAGCTTACATTTGGACATAAAGTATGCATTTATTGTCATTTAGGTTCTTAATAAATGGACATGCATAGTATGTATATTTCCCCCCTCTATTTCTCCAACTACACATCAATCAGTTTCAAAGTGCATATCATTTCCCCAGCTGCAGATTTTGTATCCAGTTGCATTCTTTAAAAAAAAAACCACACACACAAAAAAACCCTGGCTGCCCCTAGAGTAAAGCACAGCAAACAGTAAAGCGTGCTGTTTATATACTGCCCCATAGCACTTAAAAGGCTGACTCTCTGGGCAGTTTACAATTTAATTATGCTGGCTACACATTGGAGTACCTACTTAGAAGAGACAATACAGAGTCCCAAGTGCAAGGTTGTCATTCACCAGTTATCTGAAGAAACAGAGAGACCGTAATCTCTCGTGAAACGTGCTAAAACCCTTCATGACCATGCCTTTGCATCCGTTTAGTCATGTCCTTTCCTGACGTTTGGAATCGCAGCTTCTGCCAGCCCTTGGAAAAATTGGTTAGCATTGTGTCCGAATATCCCAGTGAAGTTGAGCATATGTTCAGCCCTTCCTGCGTCCCTTTGCATCGCTGCAGTGGGTGCTGCAGAGATGAGAGGCTCCATTGTGTCCCAACGGAGACGACCAATGTCACTATGCAGGTAAGAGATAATACTGTGTGATGCTGGTTATTCGAAAGTCTTGGCTCACAGATTTCATTGCTCTGAAGCACTGTCTCAGAAGGAGGCACAACTGACGAGAAAAATTATCTTACATGAGAACTACTCAAATGAATAGGAAACCCTATGTCCCTCTATGTTAATCAGTAGGGGTAGTTTGGGGAGGGGAGGATCATGGGAGGGGGTTGCCATTTAGATTCCTCCCCCCAGCCCCAAATCTCTTGGTGGGTCAGCCAGGGGGCAGGAACAAAGGAAGATGCGGGGGGGGGGGGAGAGACACACAACGAGGGCCAGAAATGCTCAGAGAGTGACTCGCGTTTCCTCCTTCCAGCTGGTGAAGATTAATTCAGGGAAGCAGGTGCCTTATGTGGAGTTGTCCTTTGTGGAGCACAGGAAATGTGTCTGCAGGTACTGTGTTGATGTGTTTATTATTTACTTCAAATGTTTTCACTTTGTCCTTCTCCATAAAAGGCCGCTGTGTCTCTTCTGTGTCATACCTGAGAACTGAACAGAGTTTGGAAAAGTCACTAAGCAGGAGGCGGGACCAGCTGTCCTGCAGTGGGATCTCTGGGGTTTCCAAAATATAACTCTTTCGTGGTCCAGGATCAAGTGCCTCACAGCTCTTAAGCTGCGTATCTCTGGGGTTAATTGCTTATGGCTCCGTGAAAGCCACCAGCCCTTCTCCTTGACTCTCCTCCAGTCATTAAGGGAGCCAGTACAAATGGTGAAGGAGCCATAGCCCCCTTTCATTCAAACACTTAGGAATCCCATTAATGTAACTTGAATCTAGCTGGGACAGATGTTCTCCATCACCCTCCTCATAGCAGGTTCCTGTGGATCCCAGCTGTGGCTAGACCAAAATACAATAAAAGCATTTTCATTCAGTTTCTTGACACCTTAGACCTGCATGCCCAAATTAGCAGGTGAGATTAATTTTGCAAGTGCTAGGAATGTTGACACCTGATCCCTCCCTGCTTTCTCAGCAGGAAGTAGTTGTTAGTCATTTGCTCTTCTTTAGGAACACAAAGCAGACTTCTTCCTATGTATAGACAATCTGTCAGAAATAATTAGGCTTTGCTGACGCCCTTTGAGCCTAGGAAACCGGATGAGTTAGGTCTCCTTAGTGTGCTACTCCTTAAGTGGCCAGACTTTAGATCTCTCAGACATGGCTTTCCTAAACTGTCTATTTCTTAGTTGCCAAGTGCAATTAAAAAGCAATTTTGTATGTTCTCTGTTACTGTTATTGGGAATATATTAAGTAATTCAAAGTTTATGGCAGAAAAAGATGAATTCTTTGATGGGTGCAGATTATGGAAGATGCAGATAGTTTCTTTTATTTTTAATTTTTGTATTATTCATCTTATGCTTTTATAGTCATAGCAAAAAGCTCTATGCAGTGCTGAACCCCTATCCCCAACCCTAGATATTTTATGCAGACGCATCTTTTTCAAGCCTACACTCATAGATATAAGTGCTCATAATTTGTTTTATTTAAATTAACGTAAAATAATAAGACAGCATTCTCAGAAATTGGACTTGTAGATCAGAAGCTGAATATAAGCCAGCTGCGTGATGTGGCTGCAAAAAAGACAAATGTGATTAGGCTGTGTTAACAGAAGTATAGTCTCCAGATCCCATCAAGTACTAGTCCTTCTATATATGGCAGTGATTAGGTCTTATCCTGAGTACTATGTACAGTTTTGTACACTACACTCTAGACGATGTCTAGAGGGGTGGGGTAAAAATCAAATCAAATCAAATAAATAAATAAATAAATAGGATGTTAACTAACTAGAACAGGTTCAGAGGATGTCAAAAAGAATAATCAGGGGATTGGAAACCAAGCCCTATGAGGAAAGACTGAAATAACTGGTTAAGTATATTCGCGAAGGCTTTCACGGCCAGGGTCTAATGGTTGTTGTGGGTTTTTCGGGCTCTTTGGCCGTGTTCTGAAGGTTGTTCTTCCTGACGTTTCACCAGTCTCTGTGGCCAGCATCTTCAGAAGACTGGTGAAGTTTAGCCTTAAAAAAAGAAGACCAAGGGATGATACAGTGTTGTTCTTTAGTTGTTAAGTTGTGTCTGGCTCTTTGTGACCCCATGGACCAGAGCACACCAGGCCCTCCTGTCTTCCACTGCCTCCCAGAGCTGGGCCAAATTCATGTTGGTAGCTTCGATGAGACTGTCCAGCCATCTCATCCTCTGTCGTCCCCTTCTCCTCTTGCCTTCACACTTTCCCAACATCAGGGGCTTTTCCAGGGAGTCTTCTCTTCTCCTGAGATGGCCAAAGTATTGGAGCCTCAGCTTCAGGATCTGTCCTTCAAGTGATGATATGATAGCACTCTTCAAATATTTGAAATGTAGTCATACAGAGGAGGGTCAGGATCTGTTCTCAATTATTCCAGAGTGCAGGACACATAATAACAGACTCAAGTTACAGGAAACTTGGTTTCAGATGAATATCAGGAAAAACGTTCTAACTGTTAAGAGCAATACAGTAATGAGACCAATTATCTCAGAAGGTGGCAAGTGCTACAACACTGACATTAAAAGTTAGATGGCCATATGTCAGATATACTTTGATTTGGATTTCTGGATTAAGCAGGAGGTTGGACCCGATGGCCTTACAGGCCAACTCCATTATTCTGTGATTCTATGAGAAAGCCACACCCTGCAAGCAGGACCACATTCTGCTTGTTTCCCAGGCTCCAGTGGAACTGTAGCATATACAGAGCCTTAGAGGTGCCTTGCCTACTGAGTGAGCCAGCCTCCAAGAGACAAAATGTGATAGAGGCAGCAGCTGCTCCAACTCAGCTGCCCATCCCAAACATCTGGGACCTTTATGAGATGCTTCTCCCCCAACAAATAAAGAAAGCACTGATGCCCTCCTTCTCATGTGCTTTCATGAAACATGTATGCCCACATTTTGGAATTCTTCATTTCCAGTAGTGCCTTTGTTGCCTTTGCAAGATAAAACTATGCTTTTGTTTAACCAATTATCTTGTAAATGGAACAATAAATCAGGCACTGGAACTCCCAGAATAGAGGCTCTTGGACTGGTAACAAGTGCAAGAATGCCGAGACCAGTTATTCTTACTTTTTTTTGCCTCTGCTAATCATCTCCATGTGTACAACATGTTTTTAATGGAAGGTGCACATTTTCACCTGTAGCAAAGACATATCTCATTTTCAAATACTGTATGGAGACTTCTGCTGTTTATTTTCTAAAGTACTGTGGTGCCCCGCATAGCGAGCGCCTCGGTTAACGCCGAATCCACATAGTGACGTGGTTTTTGCGATTGCAAAAGCGATTGCATTGCGATGTTCTCAATGGCTAAAAATTGCTTTGCGATGATTGGTAAGCGTTTTGCTTACCGATTTCCGCATAGCGATGTTTTGGGAACAGTTGATCAGCGGTTCCAAAATGGCAGCCGGAAAAAATGGCCAACCACAGCATTTTCGTGCTCTTTACTCACTTACTGGGCAGCGAAAATGGTGGCGCATGGAGGATTTCCGCATAGCGGTGAGTTTACAGCCCATAGGAATGCATTAAACGTGTTTTAATGCGTTCCTATGGGTTTTTTTGCCCTGCATAGCGACGAATCCGGATAGCAACGATTTTTTTGGAATGGATTATCGTCGCCATGCGGGGCACCACTGTAGTCTGGAAGTCACCAACTGTGTGCCATTTTTGTCTTTTATTTATAGTTGTTATTTCTCTCCAATATGCAGTAAGATATTTTAAACTATACGGAGATATTTTTCCTGCAGTTGGTCCATATTATCTTGAAAATGCAAACAGGATTTTACCCAGGTTTACGGGATCAGGCAGAAGAGGAACTTGGTACCATACAGAGCTTGGAAAAGTGACATCTTGGGGCTATGGCCTTTTAAATCACACCATGAATTAGTATGAAGTATGTAGTATGTAGACTGAAAAAGTTACTTTTCCATGCTTGGTAGAGTGTGGATCAACAGTGGGAGCTCATTCAGTCAGCCTTGACATATATGGGCAGTGGAGAGTGACAGGAAATGGGGACTGCAGATGTAACCAATGCAGGAGAAGGAAGTAGCGAGTTCCTGGTGTAGAAGGGTGCCTCCTGGACCCAACATTACTTAGAACAGATTTGTGGGGCATTTGGGCAAGGCCATACCCCTGTGGTTTGCTCCATCTTTAATCAGTTGTAAGTTAAGAAAGGAAATTTTCCAAGTTTTATGCTGGAGCATCAGATCCTATAATGTCCATTGATGCTGCAGACACTGAAGCCTGACAATGTGACCTTTTTCCTTCCAGGCCACGACAAGAAGCTCTGAAGTCAAAAAGGTAAGGGGCATTACCAAGGATTTTTGATGCTGGGGTTCTCTCTGCAGTATCTCATTTCCCACCCACTCTTCTTTTTTCCTACTCTTTCCTCCAAAAGGAGGAGGAGACCCAAGGGACGCAGCAAGAGGAAGCGGGAAAAGCAGAGACCCAAAAATTGATCTCTATGTGAGTATCAACACCAGGGAAAGGGGGAGGAGTACACACTGTAGTCATGGGTAAAGATAGATGTTCTTTCCCAGTAGTATTCACTTTGGCTCTAGTTTTGCCAATAGAGATTATGTGAAGCTAGCACAGAAGAAAAGAAGAAGAAGAATATTGCCCATCTAGGAACATGATATTACAGTGGTGCCTCACTTAGCGATTGCTCCGTGCAGCGACGAAATCGCTTAGCGATGGACTTTTTGCCATTGCCAGAGCGATCGCTTAGCGATGGCCCCTATGGGTAAAAATCGTTTGCGATGATCGTGGGGACGCGGTCATGGCAAAGCGCCCATTTTAACAGCTGATTGGCGGTTCCAAAATGGCCGCCGGAAAAACAAAATGGCGACCACTGTTTTGCCTCGCCTTAGAGGCACCCAAAATGGCCGCCACTATGGAGGATTTTCGCTTACAGGTAAGTTTTTAGCCCATAGGAACGCATTAAACATGTTTTAATGTGTTCCTATGGGCTTTTTAAAATCGCTTAGCGATTAAATCATTTAGCGACATTTTTTCCTGCACGGATTAACGTCGCTAAATGAGGCACCACTGTACTTTGAAAATATTAACTGCATCTGTGTGACTTCTAACAGGAGTAACTCATGGACCAAGCAGAGGGTGGTGTAACTGCCTCTGAGCATTGCAGGAGGCTGAACATAAAAAATAAATCACCTTTGAATTTTATTGCATGCTCATTGCCATCCCCATGGCTCTGGGCAGTGGCTTGGTTTTAGCAGTGGTGACCTTAGATGGGGAAAACCTGGCTTACATTGCAGCTGCCATCAGAACCATTTCTAGAGGTGTTCAGTTTTGTGTTTTTGGACTATGACTCCCAGAATTTCCTAGGTAGCATTATCTGCACACCTTTAATCAAATCTGCACTCTTCTAATAATTTCTTGGTATGCTTTTTGTTCCTATCTAGTTAGCTAGTCACAGTTTGAAGGTCTGTTAGCTTAATGCTTAAAAGCAGGCCTTGGATGTAGCAGCCCATACAGTACACTAAATATATGTTGTCAAATAGCACTGGCAACCTATACCCAAAGGGGAATGCCCCAGTCTCTTTAAAGTTAGTTGGGTTGGATATATGTGTGATGTCTTTGCATCATCTCAGCAGGTAGGGGCATTCTGAGCAGAGGTTTGTTCAGGCAGTGCTGCAAGGTGGAAAAGGATTTGGATTTAAGCCTGTTGTGTATAAGTTCCACTGACTGAAATCCAGTAGTAAGTGACAGCTAGAGTAGGCCCATTGAATCAATGAATCAATCATCTCTTCAACAGAAGAGTTGACTCACCAGATCCCCATTGATTCAATGGGCCTGCTACTGGATTCCAGTAACTGAAATCAGTGAGGCTTAGGATGTGGC